AAGAAGAAGAAGAAGAAGAAGAAGAAGAAGAAGAAGAAAAAGAAGACCACCACCACCACCACCGGCAGCACCAACACGACCGCCAGCAACAACGACAACAAAAAACCAAGAACAGCAACAATAACAGCCATAACAATAACATCAACTACAACAAATCTAACAATAGCCACAAATAATAACATTAATTAAAAAACAAAACAAACAGTTTGATTTTGTTGAAATAACTGTTCTAAAAAAAAGCGCTTTACGTAAGCATTTCGTTGGACAAAGCTTACAAGATGGAGGCTGCTTCTACATTTCCAAACAAGAATAAGTAACGAATTCTCTATTTCAGAATCACAAAGTTTTACCTGCTCAGTACCTAGTTTTGAGAAATTTGACGTAAACATATGTTGAGTTTCACAATATCAAGCTTTGACGAATATAATTCTTTTATAATCTTCATAACGGTACGACTCAGATTAATTGATCAATTTTGATTGAGCAGATAAAACATGGTTTCTGACCTCAGTGTCTGAGCATCACCACTACATGTTTATCGTGAAACATTAATAACATTATATCAATTTCAGTTATAGTCAAAGTGTGAATAAGCGTACCATTCTGTGAGTTCTGGCAGTACTACTTTTCCTTCCTTCTCTTCTTCTTTATTTCAATCTTCTAACAAAGTCGCTTCTTAAATCGCTTTTTCCTTCCCCATCTTTCTCTCTCTCTTTTTCTCAATTTAGCCTACATTGCGTCTCGATGTCTCCTTTCCCTCTTTTTTCCGTCTATTTTTAGGATGTGTTATACTTTTCCTCTTTCACATTCACTCCACCCCCCCCTTCCCCACCTTAATAACGCCCTCTGCCCAAAACCTTATTTATATCTCTCTTCATTTCGATTCCCCTTTCTCTTAAAACATGCCCCTCGTTGCCTCCTTTCTCTCTTTTATCTCATTAATATTCAACACCCCCCCCCCCCAACCTCACCCAATCCCTGCCGTCTCCATCTCTTTTTCTCTTCAGTTCCAATACCCCCTCCACCCTCCTAAATAAAAAACCCTCCTTTATTCTTTCTCCACTTTATCAAATATGGCCGAACCAAATTTCCGAGTGCCCGCTTGGGTTATAATATTATCATTAGACACAAGTGCGGAATTTGAATGAACTATCAGATTTCTGTGGCCTGTGACTGGTAAAAGAGGCGTGTCGAACGGCGGTGTTTGTCAACGTTTTAAGGCGATGATCGCTGTCGAAATAGCACCTCGTTACAGCCCGCTCTGTCTCTGACGTGCCGACTCCTAACAAAATCCCACGTCTTCTTTCTCAATCGCTCTCGGATCGGGCTTCAGGCATTGGACTTACTGAACCCTTGAGCAAACACTTGGAGAGGTATATCAACTATTTTTGTTAAAGAACGTCTGTTCCTCCCACCACACCCCCACGCACACACACAATTCTACCCCCTCCCTCTCCCCTCTCCTATTCCGATCGCCAACCCTCTTCCCCCAACCTCCCCCTCCCTCTAAAAAAACAGAAAAAAACATCATACAACAGAAAGGGAAAAAAATAAATAAAAAAGGAAAAACGAAATTTACCAGAGGATGCTGATGATGCTGATGATGCTGATGATGCTGATGATGATGATGATGATGATGATGATGATGATGATGATGATGATGATGATGAGGGTCTTGATTTTTACTCAGATCAACAGGATATTATTCTGATTATGAAAGCGGCATTTACGATAAAACATAACACACAAATCCGCACGTTTTGAACTATTGGCTTTTCCATTTACGGTTTTTTTTCACAGTCCACAGTTACTTTGATTATTCTTTAATAAAAATATTTTAGCCTATCTATCTATCTATCTATCTATCTATCTATCTATCTATCTATCTATCTATCTATCTATCTATCT